AAATAAATAAATAAATAGTAAAAATAACATCAATAGCAGTGATAATGATATTAAAAAAAAAAAACAAAAATAACCAAACAATGAAATAAAATTGCTCCAACGCAGCACCGTCACATCGAATAGTTGAAGAGGTCCTTGTGAGCAAACAAAAGCGCAAGTAAGTAATAAAGTGGTAAAGTGGTAAATCCGTGAAGAGCAGCGAATAATTTGAACAAAAAGTAAACTGAAAAAAGAGCAACAACAAAACGGAAAAAAAATTATGCAAAAAAATAAAAAGTACTTACAAGAAAAAAACAAAAAACAATTACATGCATTTTTGCAAATATGAGCTGCAAAAAAAAAAAACAAAAAAACAATGCAAAAACACATAGCAAAAATATGAAAAGAAAATAACAAAACAAAAACACTAAAGAAAAAAATAAATTAAATTTACTTACAAAAGAAAACAATGGCAGTCAAATATGAAAGAAAAAAATTCAAATGTCAACCAACAAAACGGAAGGAAGGAAGAAATGCTTCACGCCATGAGTATGAAGGATGCGCAAAAATAATGGCGGCTGTGTTTTGACCATTTCCGCACACAAACAAAAGCAAAAATATAATATTTTTAAAATAATTCGAAAAAAGAAATTTAAAATTGCAATGTGAGAACTAGCAGAATTATCAGAATAAATAGTAGAGTAGTGGGAATTATTATATAAAATTTTTATTTTCAACTAATAATAATGCTAAAGTTGAAAATAATAAGAATTAATTAAAATTTAGTATGAGAACTAACAATATTAACAGAATCAGATGTATTAGTGTGTATTATTGAGTAAAACTTTAAAATAAAATTTATATTTTAATTAATAATAATTTTAAGGTAAAAAATATATTATCAGAAATTAATTGCACGCTTTGTGAAGAGGCTGACATGCGTGTGCATTAACAATTACGTGTCTTACTTTACTGGCTTTACTAATATTACAATAAAATTAAATTAAACAAAAGAGTGAGGCCGGATCGAGAAACAAAGTAAAAGCAAAAATCAAATATATTTCAAAGGAATACGGAAATTTCATTTAACATATGTAAGCTTTAAAACACAAATAATTTTCTAAAAAGAAAAACAATAGTAAAGCAAAAGAAAAAATTTGTTTTTGCACATATGCCACTACTTTGCTTTGCATACATACATACATACACACACAAGCATATGCATGTACACAATGTAATCATATCAGAAATTTTACGCATAATACTATCTCGCTTACACATAAGTCAAATCTAGACAAATCTGCACATGTTTAAGACCATAAATAAACCACATAATCACAATCTCAAACGTAACGATCGATTGTTGTCACTGTTTGACAGCGCAAAAAGTTCGAGCAGCTTATAACAACAACAACAACAGCAGCACCAGCACCAACAACACCAACAACAAAAATTGCAGCAGCACAAATTAAGCATAGCAAAAGCATAGCCAAAGCGTGTGCATATTAAGAGAGCGAGAGCACATACTTCAATCTACTAAAGGATATTACAGCAAGCAAATAGAACATGTAATGTATGTATGAATTGTTATTTATTTAAGCTTAGTTGTGTGCAACATAAGTTCCTTTATGTTTATATAAATATGTAACAATTGATTGAAAAGTATTGCAAGTTGCAATCAAGCATGCAACACTAGTTAAAAAGAGACAAACTATATTTGTTTGTATGTGATTATAAATGTTAACTATTTTTAATATGAGCATATTGTTTGCTTACAATGCACCAATAATGCATTTCTTACTCAGAGATTTGCATTTGTTGCTTTATAATATATTTTGCTGTTTTGCTGTCGAAAGCATTGCCAACATTAAATTCATTTCAGTTGCTCAATTGGAATTGTGCTCAGCTCTTATTTTAGAATCTTACTGAGTACATAACCGGTCTAGTAAGTTTTACAAAGTAAACGCCTTTTTGTATTGCTTGTCGTAAGTGTAAACGCTACAGCTATATAAGCGGGGTGTTAACTCTTGTTGTATTTCTTATTTGCTATCTCGTACTCACAACGTGCTGTGAGCGCAATTTACAACAAATACACTATAGCTTAAACGACCATTACGAAAATATTTTTATATTGTCACCGCACACACACATTTAGTAAGCAGCACAATACTGCCTACCCCTGTTATGTTATTGTTGTTGCTCTGACTGCTTAAAAAAAACAAGAGCAAACTGCTTGTCAAATTACTACTACTACAGTGACACTGTAGTGAGCTTTGTTGGCTGTTTACGGTTTCGCCTTAGCTGGTTTTGCTTGTTTATGATATTGCGTATATGCTTGCTGTTGTTTGCATGTGGTGTCTATCTCTTCTTCTCTTCTTCATCTTATTTGTGCATTTCATGTTTTTGTTCCTGAATTTAGTTGGTCTGCGACCGTTGACGTGTTTACAAGCGTATTTGGTGTAGGCATATGTGTTTTTATCTCGTTATTGCGACGGACGTTATTTTTTAACTTGATTTGATTTGATTATTGTCTACTACTGTCTGTCGTATTATTTTTATTTGTATGATATTCATATATCGTACAGTACATATCGCTCATACATTCATATATGCTTTACGGGAAATATTTATATGATTTTGCTTTAGTAAAAATCAGATTAAACGTTATTTTGTCGTAATAAACGTTAAACGTGTTTAAATCGCGTAACGTACGTTAGCGTAAACGTAAAAGCGCGGAATTTTTCACGAGCGGTTTTTGATTTCAATTTGATTTAATATTAATTATATTAATATCGTTGTTGTTATTGTTTTAAAATGATATTTCAACTTTTTGCAATATAAACAAATTATCAATGTTTAAATGTGAAACAAAAACAAAATTTATTTAATAAATTTTACATAATTAATGAACAAGTGTCAAAAATCAAACGTTATTGAAAGCAACAATTACAACAATTATAATAAATTAATTTATAATTAATACTACAATAAAAAAAAAGTAAGCTTAATTTCCTAAATCTGTATTTTAATTAATTTATCATTTCAAAAGTTTATTGGCAATGCAAGATTTATTAAGATTTACTAAACTATTTGTTTAGTAAATTGATTGGCCGGCCACGAAGCTAAGAAGAGTGTTAATAATAACAGAAAACTATTAAAAACTGTTAAACTAGGAAAAGTTATTAATTGTATAAATTTATAACATTACACCGTTTACACTACTTTCAACTTTTTGCATAATTTTAACGACGGCAAATACAGAATTTTTTTAAAAAAATCGCATTAATAGTTTTAAAAAATCCTAAAAAATTAATACAAAAAATAAAACAATAAATTACTTTTATAAGAAAAAATTATTAAAAATAATATCTATTAAAAATATTGATATTAAATCTATTGCTAACAATAGTTTATATTAAGAACTTAGTTTCTTTCGCCAAAACTCAATAAAATTTTGTTTAAATTATTAAATTCGTTAAAATTTAATAAAATATTTTATATTAAAAAAATTATATATTAAAAAAAACTCAACACAAAAATACTGTCAAAGCTCAGTTAACTCTTTTTATTGCAAGTGTTTGCATTTATTAAAAAAAATATATATATATTGTTATCAGTGTAAACTAAGAAGAAGCAAAAGTTTTGAAGACATAAATGCGTTATTGATAAATTCTAATATTTGACAAATTAGTTGTGTCTACACGGCCAAAGTTGTCAAATTTAAAAAAAAATATTTTTCACTTCCCAAACTGAAATTTGTTATTGTGTCGCAAATTGAACAAGACAACAAGTGCCCAAAATATCAAAAACTTAAGTAAAAAAAATATCTAACTTAATATAAATAAATAAATACTATAGTATCTGCTGTGAGAAATGAAAAATTTGACACCAACAACAAACAAACTTGCCTTTAAACAAACTCAATTCAAAGTTTTTATCAATATTTGATATAAACTATTGACAATTGGCGATAAAATCACCTAAGCCACAACACTAAAGCGTACTGTGTAAATATAAAATTAAAATTTAAAAATTAAAAAAATTATATATTTATTATTTAAATAAGAAAAAAAAGAATTAATCACAAATTGTCCAAAAATTGTCAATTAACTTGCGTAAGCAAACCCAACACACACGACGACACTCATACGTCTCAGTCAGCGTCTTTGGAACACTGAAACGCCACTGTCAGTCATCAAAACCCACCAAAAACAAAAATAAAACAAAAACAAAAACGAACCAAAAAGACTGATAAACTGATAAGGATCTTTTGATTTGTATATTTTGTATATTTGCTTCTACTCTATCGACTATCGATTTTAAAGTAATCAAATTCACTCACTATTCAAACAGAACAATTTTTTTTTTAAAATATTTTTTTTTTTTCCAAAACTGATAAGCAAGTGTCACGCATGCCAACGTGCAACAAAATTTTGAAAGCACCAAGAACAGAAAAAAAAACAAAAAACAATTCAAAAATCAAAGAAAACACCTGAAAAACTCTAAATGAATTTTTAGAGCAGAAAGAAAAAAATCTCTTTGTTACGAAATATGGTTATTTTCTAGGGAAAAGATAGCAACCACTGAGACTAAGTCTTGATGTCAAATTTGGTACCAAACTGTCAATGCAAACTGGCATTATTTGTGGGCTTAACTCAGCGCCAACACATAAGCGCCGGTTCAGGCTATTCGTTGGCTATTAATGACAGGCAGCGCTGCTAACTTGACAGGTTTCGATTGCTAACAGGAATTTGGTTGAGACTTAGAAGAGAAGACGGCCAATCATGCGTAGCAGTTTGTTTGGAACGTAATTAACACATCAAAATAGTTCTTAAATAGTTGTAAGAGGTCATTTATTGAGGGTTAATGTTATATACGTTTTAATAGTTGTTACAGAAGTCATAGCTTAACATCAGGTAATTGTAGGAAATAAAAGATTTATAATATTAAAAGAATGTCATTACTAGATGAGATATAATGGGCCAACATAATCTATAAGATATGTTGAGAATTTTATATATGTTTAAGAAGAAGATATATAAATCGCAGCTTTTGGGATTGAAGCGATATATAGTTTACGACAATGGTACATTGCGAGAAATAAAAATTATCATATATAAGAGATATACAAGATATAGATATGAGCATAGCCTATTCTAACTTTGTTGCTAAGAACTTGAAGTGTAAAAGAATTATTTATTTATTTATTAATATATACAATGAAGTTCTGAAGTCCTAAATTAGTAAGTTAATACTAGAAAACAATATACAATTAAAGTAACTTATATTATTGACGATCCTAAACTAGTTATATCACATATGAAGCCTTAAAGGGAATGAATAAAGTAAAGCTCTTCTTAGCAAAAAATGTTTGCTATTTCTACGAGTATGTTCTGTTGGATTAATTGCATTTAATAAAATTAATAAGTATTTTATATAAGTATTTTAATACTCTCCTTATAAAGAGGTTTTTCGAATAGTAGTAAACTACAACAACAAAAATTATTTTCTACAGTTCATTAGAATTCATTAGATATAAAATAATAAGTTTTAGATAAATGATAAATAAATTCCAAAAATTTTTTAAAAATTTGATCCATTAAAGTAATTGACTTTAATTTTTAAAACTTTGATCTATAGTCTTGATTTCTTAGATTTGTAACTTATACGACGTGGTCTCGATGTATACAAAAATAGTTTTTTCTACACATTGGTAAAGGTCAACTGCTTTTAAATCAATTTTTATCTATACTCTGTAACTTTATCTATATAACTATGACTATATATAACTAACCTAACTTATATATAACTACATAGAGTCAGTTCGATAGAACTAGATAATCAAATCAAGATCCCTTATTTAATAGTCTTATCATAGCCATCTCTTTATTGTTATTTAATGATCTTAAGTAATTAAATTATCAATTTACTTCGTCCGATCTGCAATTTTTTCCTCAAATAAAATACGAATATTATTTAATATTATGTAATATTATTTTAAATATTACTGTATCCTTTTGACCAAAACTTAACGATATAGTTAATAGCCATACTATAAAGAAAGGTTTTGAAAATTTATTTACAGATACATAAATGTTACTTAAAAAAGAGACAACATCGAAATATAAATATTTCGAATTTAGAATTTTTAAAAGTTCTTAAAGTTCTTAAACTTCAGTTACTAAAGATCAGATAGATTGGAATGTCCCTGCAACAATTTTTAAAGAAGTCTTTCTTTAAGGATTTCGCAAAACTATCAGAATAGAAAACTGTCGGGCTTTTCATAAAATTCCTACAATAATATATATCTTTTTCTTATTTGGCCTCCCTTACGATCTGCCTCCATCTGTCCCGATCTTGCATCAGCATACACTTTATATATATATAATAATAATGTATGTAAATATATATGTGTTATATTTATAGTTTCTTTTCTGAAGACTATGTTGACTTCAATATCTGAGACACTTTGACTTGATATAGTTGATTTTAAGAATATAAATCCTCTTTATTAGATTTTTTTCTTTTCTTAGACTAAAGAACGACTATCAATACTATTTTAATTTCTTAAGTTGTGCATCTTTGGCACTATGATTTGAGATCCCAAATCTTGAAAGTAGAAGCCTCTTTCATATATCTTTTTTCATTTTTTAGGCTATCCTTATAACTTCTTAAGTTGAATTTCTTTGTAATTTTGACTTAAAAATTAATTAATTTTGAAAATGGAAGGCCCTTTTCCTTAAACTATCATTACTCCATTAATCACCATCATTACCCTTATATTAACTTTTTTAATTTTATTTTTTTTTTTGTACATTTTAACATTAAATATTATTTATTTTATGTATAAAATTCGAAATTTATATCTACGCCTACATAAAATATATTTTGAGTCAAAACTTCACCGACGGAACGGCGCTTATGCATTTCTTATGTACTGACACTTAAGTGTAACTGAAGTGGCACAAGACGACAGTCAAAATTAAAATTATTATAAAAATTTCAAATAATTCAAGATATTTGTAATATTTTTAAAAAATTAACTACAAAATATGAAACACCCACAATGAAGCGCCAAGTGTCATTCATAAAAATGTACAAAAGCGTATAAAGTTCAAAATAATTTGAAACAAAGTACAAAGCTAAAAGCTTAAAAATACATTAAATACAAAAAAAAAAAGATAATTAAAACAAAATAATTATTACTTATAAGTAGCAACTTAAATAAAGAGTTGAAAATATTTGCAAATAAATTGTTGAGATACTCACAACAAAATTGCATTCAAATGTATTTCA